GTGAGCTTTAGATATAAAGTAGGTCAGGAGATCGAGACCATCCTGGCTCACACTGTGAAACCCCGTCTCTACTAAAAATATGAAAAATTAGCCGGGCGCGGTGGCGGGCGCCTGTAGTCTCAGCTACGCGGGAGGCTGAGGCAGGAGAATGGCAAGAACCCGGGGGCGGAGCTTGCAGTGAGTGGAGATCGCGCCACTGCACTCCAGCCTGGGCGACAGAGCGAGACTCTGTCTCAAAAAAAAAAGTAAAAAAATAATAATAATAATAATAATAATAATAATAATAACAATAAAGTAGCCAAAACAAGGTTCTGAATGGAAGAGCAACTGCTGAGTGTCATCAAAATTGACTGGATCAATAATAATTAAAGAAAGAGAAGCTGCACATGAATGTGGGAAAGATAGTCAGAATACGTTAAAGAGCGCTGGGTCATAATTTTGAACATTACCTAAAAACAACAGAAAAGAAGCTCTGTGAGGTTAAACAAAGATTACCTGAAACCCGTTTGCTTCTAATTTTCTAATTTCAATAAAATAATGATAATAAAAGTGAGCAGCAAGAAAGTATTAAGATCAAATGCATTTCCTAGCTATAAGATACAGAAAGTAACACTAAAAAACAGAATAGCATACCTATAAATGATATGAGCACATCAGAAATACATGTACATAAATACTTAGAAATCATTCAATAATGTGGTGATCAAACTTAGGAAAAATTCCAAAATAATTACTAAATTAGACAACAAAAAAATGACTAAATTAGATTAACAAGTGTGGCTAAACCTAATAGGTAATTCCTAAAGGAAATACAATATGAAAATAAGAAAAATTCTCAAATAATAAACACATTTTGGGAAAAAATGACATATATTAAACACAGGCAAATAATATCCAACATATAGGAAGTGGGAATTCCTGAAGAAGAAAACCAAGCACAGAAAGAACCAATGCTACAACATACAATCTAAGAACAGTTTACCAACGAAAACAAACAAACAAAATGGAAAAGAAAGAAACCATATATTGAAGAGAATACCACACTGCAAAAAATGCCATGCTAAGGTGATCAACACTGAGACCCATTTTAAGAAAATTGTTGCATTTTAAAGAAAGAAGGGAAATTTCTTTGGATATCTTTATACCAAAAAGAAGAACAGTACGAATAAAGGGAAGAAAAAATAGATTATCATCAGGTCTTTGTGGGGCTGTGGTGCTTTAGGCAAAAAAAAAAAAAAAATATATATATATATATATATGCAGTTATATATTTGAGTTACTAAAGGAAAAAAAATGCAATAAGAATTTTACATCTAACAAATCTGTCCTTGAAGCATGAAGGGCACAAACTGCTATCAACATGTAAGGACTCAATGAATTAGATTCATGTTCCTCAGGCTGTACTAGAAAACAAGTGTTAGACAACCAACAGAACTAGAGAGACACTGATAGAAGGACTAGGGTTAGCATTCAATATGTAGCTACTTACAAAACGAGACAAATGAAGGTTCAGAAATTGCAGAGAATATTATGTGATCACCATATGCTCTGATAAAGAAGAAATGGTACAAAAGTAAATATGAGGAGAGCAGGGAGGGGAGGGCATTAGTAAAAAATGTACAAAGCTCTTCTTGGCAATTGTACGGGAGATGATAGTGTTACTATAATTATTCTTAGGTTGTTCCACACATAATGTGAAATAAAGAAAATGAGTAATTATGGAATATTCTATCATCACCTGTGTCTCTGAAAACCAGGATTCTTTATATGAAATAAAAGATATAATATGGATTCTGATTTTTAATTGAAAATATCAATATGAATGTATGACATATTTTATCTTTAAACACCTCACAATTCTTTTCATTGAAAAGGCCTAGAAATAATCATCAATCCAATTATGCGGAGGGCATTGAGCATTACTTATAGCTAGATAGTGGTCTCAACTTTTTCCCACCAAGATAAATTAGAGTTTCATAGACAAATAACTGATTCCAGATTTTACATGGGAAATGTATAAGATCTGACATACCAGATAGCAAGGAAACCCTTGAAAACTATTATGACATGTTGAAATAACTCAAGAGCCAACTTGAAAAGGCTTCCATTGCTCAAATGTGGGTCAATTTAAACTTCAACAAGAATACTCATTGCAGTAAATTGCAATCTATAAGGTATGTTTATATCCATGAATGCAAAATGTTATTGCTTTTAAAAATAGTCACCTTCAGAAGTTGACACAGAGACCAATTTGTTTTCTTGGGAATTTGTAAATCAAATTAAGGAATCAAGCATTTTTCTTGTCTTTCTAATAGGAATTGTAACACTGGGTAACCAAACAATAAATTAAGGGAAGAATGTCTTTAATAAAGAATTCTAGCCTAATAAGTGAAAATGAAAATAAAAGATATGACAAAATATCACAATTGTGCAACCCTCAGTGATTAATAGGTATAGGCAATAAACTGCTGAAGAGCTGAAACATTACATAAAGAGAGAACCCCAGGCAGTATATGCTTCCTGATAACATACTACATGTATGGTCTTGCCAAAGGGATCAAACCTGAATTTGATCAAACCTCTGGGTTCCAATCTGCAGAAAATAGAGAAGATAGAACAGATATGCTGATTTTCACCATTAAGTGTTGACAACTGGCAAAATGCAGAGTATGGGAAACTACAGATCAGATGGCCGACGTTGTATGATGGATAAATTGTAATCAAAATAGAGGGATAAGGGGGAAATCTATGGATTTCAAAAAGACTGAAAAGACATTGGATTTCAGAATGAGTAAGAATAAGCTATAGTTCTAGAGCTAGTATCAAAGTATGCACATTTTCAGGATAAATAAAAACAGACACAAGAAATGAATCTATGAAATTCAGGAAAATAGTTTAGGGAAGGAGTAGGTTGTAATTATGATTGGGAGTGCAAATGGGCTTTTGGAGTGGCTGGAAAAGTATTACTTCTTGATCTGAGTGTTCATTGCAAGAGTGCGTACCTTAAAATAGGTTATATATGAGATGCATGTTTTATTATATAATACACATTGTATCTATAATATACAATTAGTTACAGAATTGTCAGTGTAATTTTCTGTATCTGTAGGTATTTTATGATAAAAATATTTTTAAGTGTTATCTGTTAAAGGGGGTTTAAATAAAGTCAGGTTAAATGTTTTGAGGTTAAAATATGTACAATAAAGTAATTACCTTAATATTTTGCATAACTCACTACCTGAGTGAAACAATTTCAAAAGAGTTGTACAAATGTTTGAGTAATGCTACCGTTGTGCAATTAAAGGTATACCTTAGGTATATCTTAATATACCTTAAGCATATATAATATATTGTAAGCATAATCTTATATATGCTTAAGTATACTTAATATACCTTAATAGTGATTTTTAAGAGAAAATCTTTCATTTAAGTGAATAATTTCCAGTACATTTTAAATTTCATTGTACTTGAATTACTTCTGTATACACTTGTGATTGTGGGGATATCAAGTTGGTGAGCAATTGTGCAATATCACTCATCCATCTCCTTTACTCAGAGTAGAATTATATGCAAATTTTTTCAAAGCAGTAATTTGATTTTTTTTCTTTCCCTTTCCTCATCTCCCTCATCTTTCTTTTTCCTGAGTCATCTCTTCTTCCTTTATACCCTATTAAACTATCAGGAAGCTAAGAAAGTTTAAGCTTTACAGACTCTACTTGCACAATCCACTCCCAAGCCTTGAGTTTTTTGTTAATTCTGAGAAATCTGTTTATACCGGCATGTTTTTGTAAAGTTTGAAAAAGTGAGAGATTTTGACCACAATAAGTCAAGATTATCTTTCCCCTTGGTCAAATATTCTTCAATATCTGGTATTGAGTAGCTATAGCCATTTTAAGGATTCAGCCATAATGAAACAGTGTAGGAATACAGCAGGTTAGATTAATGGGGCATATTTATTGGTTTACAGTTTCTTCCCTGGCTAGGTAAGTTATTGCTCCATGCCCTGGTAAGGAACAGCTTCTATCAGAAAAATGGTACCAGGAGTACCAGGAGTACTCCACTGTTCTGATTCATCACAGTACTGTGAAGAGGCAGGCCTTGAAGTCACATTACTCTATGAATTTTCTTATAGCAATAATCACTAAAAGTATATAGTGTACATATGTGTGTGTATATATATGTATATGTGTGTATATATACACATACATATACTAATGTGTATATATTATATATACATATATACACACATATACTAATGTATACGTGTATATAGTATATATATGTGTGTGCATATGTATATATATGTACTATATAGTATATAGTGAAGGAGAAACACATTATAAATAGAGACTTCAGTTCTCATTCATGTCTAGTCAAAATAAGAGAAATATTCTCAGCAATGCAGACACGCAATTATATATTCAACTTATTCCCTTTCATGAGCATCATACAACATTTAATTTATCAGAATTCCTATATTCATGTATGGGGTATTAGTTTTCTAAAAAATCTAGTCTGTTGTGATTTTTCTCATTCTAAATAATTGTTTTTATATCTAATATTGTATTCCAGATTTAATATTTTACCCCTTAAAACAGATTCCAAAATTGCTAGATTCAGGTCCCACGAAGCCTAGATCTGCCAGTCTACTCACTAGACATCAATTGGTAAATGGAAGGCATGTTAATTTTCTATACTTACTTTATTCTTTATTGTTAATGAACAGAGGTTAAAAGAATAAATAGAGCATTTTTTTTTTTTTGGAGTGACCTATGTTAATGCCTTTCCAGTCCTTCACTGGAATTTTACAGGCAATTATGTTCTACAGGCAAATATGTTCACATTCCGGCCAAGACTGGGTTAATTTTTGCAAAGAAAGATTGGTTTCTTGATTACAAAGAATGTCATCTTTAAGTTGAAAAGGGCCATTGTCTGGAGTTCAGAAGTTTCTGCTCTATAGAAAAAAAAAAAAAAAAAAGACAATGTTGGCTCACACAAACATAAGAGTGTGATAGAGTGTGATAGAGTGCGATAGAGAGAATCATTTTTAGAGGTTTTTTCATAACCAGTGCTATTCAATTCTCACAAAAATCCTGTGTGGTGAGTACCATTGTGCACATCTTTTAGATGAGAAAACAAGCTCTAGGAGGTTGTACATCTGCTACAAATTAGTGGCAAAGTCCCTGTTTGAACCCAGGTTATCCTGACACCAAAGTTTGTGTGTTATTCTATGCTTCTGTAACTAATTGGCCAGTCATTTAACTCTCTGGCCTCAGTTTCCTAATCTGGACAAATCAGATATTTGCCTAGAGAGTCTTGCATCTCCTGGTATCTGTGATTCATGAAACCAAGTTAAGCAAACTTTATAATATCCATTGTTAGCTGATTCCCATGTCATATAACAGAAAATTCATCTCGATTTCTTTGTGCCTAAATTTGGTAATAATTAAAAATCCATCTCCTCTCCATCTGTCCTTTGCAGAGGTGTAGAACAGCTAGTTTGTCACAATCTTGCATAATACCTTTCTGTTATGATGAGAGGGAAAAACGCAGTAGGGAAGGATGAGGGAAGATCTTGAAGGAAATATCTGGTAAGGAACCTGGACATGTTAAGGCTTCATCTCATATAAAATATTTAAGTAGGAGACTTGACCTCAACAAGCAATAGGATAAAACTCCACAAAGATTTATTTTCCTCACCTCTCCTGATGAATGTTTAAATGACAGCTAGAGAGATACAGGTAATATATAAGTAATAAGTTTTTAACTAGTACATTTACAAGGCATGTGGAAAGAATATGGGTTTTTCCCTTTATCTGTGAAAAATCAGAAAATGTTTTTGCCTATCTGGAAATAAGGATCTGGACCAGACAGCCACTGAGGTTTCGGGGTGGGGTGGGGGCTTCCGCCATAGGGAGCTCTGGCCCTGTGATGTCTTAGTGGGCTATGGAGGGCTTTCAGGCTGCAGCTTCAGCTCTGCTGTTGTCATTATCACATCTGTTTCCGACTCTGTCTCTTCTGCCTTGTGGTGGGCTCTGCAACTGCTCTTGCTGCAGTTCCTTTGTTAGAGATTTGCCCTCTTGACACCTCTGAATGAAGAAGTTGCAGTACAAAAAGAAGATTGGTGACAGACCCTGCGATTGCATTCCCTGTAGTAGGTCTTGAAACCTTATCTACATGTCATCTGGCTAATCAGAGGTCCATGGTGAGATCTGTCAGAGATTTCTGTTTTAAAAAAGAAATTCAGACACTGTTGACAGGAGAATTGGAATGCTTTTACCAGTCCTGTACCAGCACTGTCTATTATTATGTGAGTGCAAGCCTGAGGCTGTGGTGACAGAGGAACCTGAGGGTGGCCTCCTAAGGACATCAGCACAGGTGGGCAGAGCCCCTCCTCTCCCTCCACAACAACAGAAGCCAAACAAAGATGAACCCCCCACCAACAGCAAAAAGCAGAGGAGAGGTAAAAATAGAACAGCTGAACATCACTCTAAACTAGTTTGTAAGAGAATATAATGATACTCATGAATTACACAATCAGTGAGACAGACAGTGTCAAATGGGGTAACTACATCTTCTAAAAGGGTTGGAAATTCATACATGTAACCAAACCAATACAATTCCCAAGCAGAAAATGTCCCTTTTACTTATGGAATTTACAAAACCATGGAAATTAAATAATTTACACCAATTTTTGGCCATTAAAAAGCAGCTCGATTCTTTGGAAGTGCTTGGTTCTTTTCCTGTTAATAAAATACAAAGTGTAATGGCCTTGGAGTCACACTTTATCAGAGATGGGAATCTAGACATTTATTAAACTCGTTGCCAAATCACTCCATGATTCTAAATAATTAATCATTGAAGTTGCACAAGAAGTAGTAAATCTCTGGTTAAGACCACAGGCTTCGAGGCTGAATTGTTTGAGTTCAAATCCTGGCTCACAAGTTTTTGTCATCTTAGACAAGCTGCTTTGTTTCTTTCTGTATCTGTTTCCTCATCAATAAAAGTGAAACAAGGATAATAATCTATCAAAATCATAGATTTATTAAGGGGATTAGAAGCATCAACACAAAGTGACAAGTAAGTATTTCATAAATGTTGCAGCTGTTGCTGTTTTTATGGTTATTGTAATCATATCAGTTGCGATAGGCAATATTAAGCTATGTAACAATTATCCCCAATATTTCAAGCATTTAAATAAGAAAGGTTCATTTCTCACTCATGCTGTACTTCCATTCGCAGAAGAGCTATATTCATCAGAGTTATTCATAGATCCTGGCTGACAGAGCAACCACCGTCTTGGAACTTGATGGTTGATGTACCAAAGAAGAGAACTCTGAAGCGTCTTGAGTCAACATTTAAGTATCCCAGCTCATAAAAATGCACATCGCATTTTCCAGAAGCAAGACACTTGATCCTATTAAATCACAGGTTAACAAGGAATGAGAAAGAACTACATTATTGTTACCTGTGGACAATATTAATGCACAGCATTATTTTATTATCATTCATCTTATTAATAGTAGTAGTAATATATTTCAAGACACAAATGGCCTACTTATTAAAGTTTAATATTCCTAACAAGAGAAAATTTTGAAAAAAAAAATGTCTATACGTATGCATTTTATTCTTACCAATACAATATTTCATTGAGGAACAAATAATTTCCATTGAGCATGTGTAGATAATACACTACTTGCTTTCAAGTGGCTTTTCACATAATTCTAACAACCCTAGAAGATAAGCACTTCTGGCCCAATCTTACAGATGAAGCAGCAGTGTCTGGAGAAGTTACATAACTTGGAATCAGCTCTACCTGATTCTGTGTGCGGAATCTTTATGTTATGCCCCATTACACATTAAAAAGGTTAATCTAGTACAAATAAGCAAAGATTGAGGCCCTTGGGTCCCTATACGAATTCCACCTAGACATGGACTGGCCTAAGAGAAAAGTAAGCTTTTACTGAGTGATTTTGTAAAATCTTAAACCACTTTTTTTGATTTTCTGGTAGTGGAAGGGGAAGTTTTGACTGGTTAGCAACACAGATATCTATTTAACCTATTGTGGGATGATTACTCAATTTTAAGTTAAATAAAATACTTCATTCACATTATCCTGGTTTTCACACCCAAAGCAAAATTTGAACTTGGGTACTTAGTCATAAAAGGAGAGTAAGGCATATTAAAAAATGCTAGTGTTGGGTAGGTAGTTCCATTGGACATCAACCATGTTCATCTGCTCCTCCAGATGGAACCTCTTTAGAAAATGTGTGAGCTGGAAGGAATAATGGGATGGACTGGCAGAGCTGGGAACGCAGCAATTAACATACCATTCAGGAACAGTGATTTTAACAAAACTGATAAAAACGTGAGAGGGGTTGGGAAACAGTACCTATCATTTTGTATTGGGCTAAAAAGGAATAGGAAAAGAAAGTGATTATTCCTCAATTACAAGCCTCTCATGGATTATTCAAGATAATTACTCAGCTAACTTTGGGAAACCACACATGAGGTGAAAATTATTATGCTTTAAGGAAAGAGCAAGACCAGCCCCTGGACTCTGCATTTCTGGATAGAAACCATTTTCAAACTGAGAGACATTCATTTATCTTCTTCCTAACTTATGTTTAGCCCTAGGAATATAATGCTTGACAACACAGGGTGTCAATGTATCAGCTTTGCACTAAATAAGAGTGTCTCTCTAGGAAGTTAGTTATGGAGCTCACCAGGGAGAATAATTGTATATTTTAACCTGTAATATCTCTTTTCATTTGATCAATTTGATAAAGACATATTAGAAAGAAAAAAAGGTAAAAGAATAAACAAATGCAAGTCTTTAATCTGGCATATATCTTTCTGGATCAGATTTACTCCTGCCTACCATTTCTAACTTCATTGCACCCAATTCTCTACCTCACATGTAGATATTTGTAGCAACCCAAATGTACCCTAATTGATCTTCACATTTAAAAAATACAAGCAAATCATTGTATGATGCTTAGACTTCTCCAGGTGCTTTATGCATATTATTTTATTCTCATAATAATAACCCTTTGCAATAGGTAATATTATTACCCCTATTCTGCAGATGAGAAAACTGAGGGCAAATATAGTGGTACATAACTTATTTGAATCCACACAGCTAGTAAGTAACAATCCAGAATTCAAACTGGGCGAATCTAGTTTCAGAGTCAATCCTCTTTACCTTACCTTATGCTTTTACATTTGATGATATCTTTATCTGGAACACTTTCACCCTCTTATGTCTGGTCAGCTCATCATTCATAACCTGACTTAGATTTCACCTACTTAGGGAAATTGTCCTTGACCCTTCTCTGATTTTGTTGCCCTGCCATCCTTCACTAGGCTAGGCATCAATCTTCTGTGCCTAGCAGCCTAGGCATAATGCTATTGCAGCAGGAACCACAGTGTGTGTGATTCCCTTTTTAATTCTTCACCTCCTCTATCAGGCTGTGAAACCTTGTATGCTGTGTACATTTCTACAACCTTATTACCAAGCCCAGGGTATGATAAACAATAGGTGTGAAGTAAATATTTGTTGAATTAATTAATATGATAAATAGATTGAGGAAACATACATGGAGATTAGAGTTGCCTTTCAATTAAGTGGCTGGGTGATCTTTGATATTCAGTTAATATCAATTTCGGGTGCTTTTTAAATAAGTGCACCTCAGAGCTTCAACTACCATACACAAAAATCACATAAAGAATTCTGTTGACACGCAGGTACTTCTCAGAGGAAAGTGAGCACTGCCTATTTTTAACTACTCTACAGTGTTTCCAACCTTAATCCACAAAGTGTCAAATTTCTATGTCTCTTTCTCTAAAAGGACAGCTACTCCTGGGATCTAAAGAATGCTTTCTTTAGTTTTTACAGAAGGAAAGAATATCAACAAAACAAAAGCAGATGTTTGTGACTATATTACATTTGAGGAGAGGCCTTGAGAGACCTTTTTTTTTTTTTTTTCTTTTTTTCCAGATACGAGTGATTCAAATCTCAACATCCTTAAAGGAATTCTGATTTCAAGTTTGAAATAAGAACCGTCCTTTGTGTGGATTCTGATGACAGAAGTCGAGGTGATGGTTTTAGACAACATGACATTAAGTCAATAGCTTGTTTTGAAAACCATGCTGATGTCAATGGCTCCTTTATAGTAAGTAGGGGATCCAGTGTGAGTTGCTATAGAAGAGCCGGCTCTCTACGTGGCTGCTCCTGCAATGTCTCCTGAAGTTTCTTCCCTTTAGTTCCCTACTGGGAATGGGAAAGCCACAGTGTCCAGTAGTCCCAGGCTGGAGGCTTCTTCCTGTTTTCATTATGCATGTGTCTTTGGAAAAAGCACAGGATTCAGTGTCAAAGCTACAAAACCCTGAGTTTGAATACCAGCTGAATGGTCTTCAGAAAAGCCTCCTTCTGTTCCTTGTCCTCTTGTGCTCCTGCTCTTTCTCTTCCTCATCTTCCTCCTCCTTCATCACATATATTAAGCCTCTAAAAATAATAATTTTTTTCCCATAAAATGAGAATCACAACATGTATCCCATAAGGTTGTTACAAGGATAAGAAACAATAAAAATATGTAAAGTGCCTAGCACAGTGTGGCACATGCACAAATACAAAAAGTAACTTATGATTATCATCCACCCTGCATTGTCTGAAGTGCTAAAGGTGGGGTGGCCAATATATTAAGGTATGCTGATTTTGTTCTGTTGGATGAATGTGAACTGGAATATTATTCTACCAGAAATCAGTGAGTTGGAATTGAGGGGAAAAAATGATAATTAAAAAAATGATTCATAATGCACCAAGCAGCCTGCAGGGCATTGTCTTGAAACTTCACATATCTATAAGAAAAGACCAGGGAAACACACTGGTACCCACAATTATAGTAAGATACGAATGATTCTACCCTAGGTCAGTTTCCTTTTCTACCCTAGGTCAGTTTCAAGAGTTTTCATTCATTGCAAGGGAATACTTTTTTCTCTTTAATGGATTTAAAAATTTATATCCTGCCTAGGCATGATAGAGACTTTGTGAAATAAGCAGTATGTGGGACAATGAGAGAAAAGCCGGAAGATAAGCAAGGAAGAACATCTTCTGATTTTCATTTTAACAGTTTAATTCCATAGTCCACTTTCTAACAGAACCAATAGCTGTATCTACCTTCCCCCAACCTTTTCTCTATCTTTCCTCCATATTTATCTTCACCATGTTTGAGCTTGAAAAATTGAAGCAGTAACTATGAATGTGATCATAATTTTTGGTACAGATCAGGTTACCTGGGAAACCTATCATCTCAGAATATACATAGAAGTCATTGTCTTCCTATGCTGCTCCTGTCCTCCCTCCCTTGTCTCTGTGTGGTAGGTGATTTCCTTGTCTAGGTGCCACCCTCTGCCAGTCTTTTGGGTCCTATGCCCTGGGACTTCTTCAAGATTCTTTCACAATCCAATTTCCTCCATCAACTATACTCTTCTGTTGATGTAAAACATGATTTAATCACTCCCCTATTAAAATAACAGAAGGACAGGGGGCCGTGGTGTGTGCCTGTAGTCCCAGGTACTCAGGAGTCTGTGACAGGAGGATCATCTGAGCCCAGGAGTGTGAGATTCATTTGACTTTTCACCTCCAACCTGTCCAGATTATGTCATAGTTCCTCAGGCTTGAATCCTAGCCCTTCTTACTTCCTATTCTGAGCTCTCTCCTTAGGAGACCTCATTCATGGACACAGTCTTAAGTCTAAACTACATGGTCAAACCTGAATTTCTCTGATTCCTAGATGCACAAAGATATGACTCACTTCCTGCTTCATAGCTCCACTTAGAGATCTCTAAAGTACTCACACTCAATTTTAAAGTCCAAGGTTTATGTTCTCCTCCTGTCCACAACGTCTTCACGGATTCTGTCTCAGAGATGACATCACCAGGCATTGAAGAGCTGCCTTAAAAACCCTTTCACTTTTCTATACAAGGCCCTAAAAAGAGAGCATGCTAAATAGCTTTCCAACACATCCCCTTCTGACCCTATGCTATCATCACCATAGTCTAAACTATAATCATTTAATTTTGCTGCGCTACAGGAGAGTTTCAACTAGTCTCCCTTCTTGCCCTCTCTAGTCTGTTTTTCTTTTTTATCCTGCTAGAAAAACACCGTTCTCAAATGGATTTATAAATACTGTCTACTGGTTGGATCATCAGGCATCTTATTTCTTCCATCCCTGTCTACCCTTTTCCTGGGTAGACCAGGCATCTCAAGAAGGCTGAAATTCCCTGCACCTGAATTCTAATTCATTGACTCCTTTGGTAATAATAGTTGATTTTGTTTGTTTAAAATTGATTATATAATTCTTATGACATAGAAGACATTTCATTTATTACACATAGAAATTAGTAGATTCTATG